GCCCCCCCCCCCCCCACGAGATCGACAGCCCCCGTACGACTCGAGGTATAGCAAGACAAGGAACTCGGCAATTTATCACACGTTCACGAGTGGGGTTCCCCGCGCCCCTACCCCATCGTTCTCTGTGCAGTTTCCATCATTCGCAGGGTTTTGCCGTATTTTGTAATCGTGTTCGATGAAGCATACAATCGGGGAAGGTGGGGTAGGGTCAGGGTTGGGGAATACCGTATATGACACAAGATAACACACCCCCTGGACCGATTTTCAAAGCTCGATTACTCCACGACAAAGAGGATGCATAAACGAAACGATACACTTTCGAAAAACTCTCGACGAGACGGTTTCAACGCTGCCGTTTTCGGCGCTGTGACTGCTCCTGCAGTTGAGAAATCGAGCTTCGAAAATTGGTCAAGGGGGTGTGTTATCTTGTGTTATACACGGTAGGGTCTGCGTCCCCCCTCCCTGTTCTATTTCGTCGTAAACTCGTTAATTAATCGCGCGAAGGCGGCCCTCTCTGTGCCACCTCGATACACAGGGCTGGGGCGTGTCGGAGGGTCCGTTTGGCGGAGAGATTTTTCAGGGAGATGCTCGAGGCGGGAATCACCCCGGACGTCCAGGCCATCAATTCCCTCATCAATGCTTTTGCGAAGGCGGGCAGTCTGGATCAGGCGCTTAAGGTAGATAGCGCGCCGGGCGGGGGGGGTGCCTACCGTGCAAACTTGCCGGCCGGCCGGCTGTTGCGTCTTGCGCCGTGCACGTTTTATTCTTCGCTGTTGTTTTTTCGCTGCTTTTTTTTTTTCGTGGTGGTCTGCTGTGCAATGCACTGGTGCTGGTGCCTCTTGTGGGGGTTGCACGCGCTCTTGTCTGCCCCCTTTGTGTTTTTCGGTTTGAAACCGCCGCTGCCGTTGCTGCTGTTGAAGCCCGACTTTTCAGTCGAAGTACGCGATCTACTCACCGTCCGTCCGTACGCACGAGGCTGACGGAAAAGTAGGAAGGTTGCCCTCTGATTAGGCACCAGCCTGAGCGGTAACTCAGCAGGGCATGCACATCGACGGCCTGAAGCAAGAAGGACCAAAGTTGCAATATGAAAATGGGTGGCAAAACATAGATGCAGGATGGCACCCTTTATGCCCAATTGCCCGGTTTTCGCACCATTATGTCCTCGTCACCCCCTGCATTGGGGACAGGACTTCGACCAGATTCCTCGCTGCTGTCCGCCATGGTCTCACCCACCCTTCCCTTTATCGTCCACCCCCCCATCACATTTTCTCGTCCTTTTTCTTACCCCAAAACTTCGTTGCGCCTTTGGGACGTGGCAGGTTTTCGACCAGATGTCTCGCTACGGCGTGACCCCTTCCGTGATCACCTTCAACACCCTAATCGACGCGTGCGGTAGAGCCGGCGACATCGACCAGGCGCGGCAGGTGTTCTCCCGCCTCTCCCAGGCGGGCCTCAGCCCCAACGACAGGACGTTTTCGGCCCTGATCCACTCCCACGCCGTACAGGGACAGGTAAGGTCGGGGGGGGGGGCAGTGTCTTCATGCAAACCCATGCCGTAGTCGTTAGACCATTGGCCTCGCGTCTCTACAATACCGAGACGGAGCGATATGCCGGGTATTCGCCGGTGGAGGGATTGGGCGTGCGGTGGTGACACAATCTTGAGATGGGTATTTGGCTGCTTTAGAACCGATCACCGATTGGTGTGTACGTCGAACTCGCCAAGGAGAGGCTCGCGTTATAGGCGGCGCAGCCTCAAATAATGTTTTCTGCTTGCGCTGCACTGATTTAAAGTGGTTGAAAAAGATAAAACAACATGAGAGCGGGGGTGGGTCCCGCTTCCCGTGTCCCCTAATACACCGAGGATCGGGTTGACCCGTTGGCTTTGGCCGAGAGCGCGCGTCTTGCGCGCTTTGCGCACGTTATTGTTGTGCGATATAGAAACCGAAAGCAAACCATTCGACTAGTCAGCGCGGATTAATCTCGGTTTTTGTTTCGTTTCCTGTAATAGTTGCTTACGGGTTTTGCAGACTGTGCGAACGGGCACGAAAAAGAAACACACCCGATTCTCTACATCTTCCCCCTGTTTTCTTTTTCCGGCGTCTGAATGGGGTTTCCAAGGTCGACGAGGCGTTCTCTTGGCTGCAGGAGATGCGGGCGAGGGGTCTGGAGCCCAACCGCGTCACGTACTCGGCGCTGATCAACGCGTGCGGCCGGGCGGGGCAGCTCGCGAGGGCGTTCCAGACCCTGGACGAGATGTTCGGGACGGGGATTGAGCCCAACGTGGTCACGTGGACCACCCTCATCGACGCGTGCGGGAAGGGAAAGGTGCGCCGCGTGTCGTGTGTACATGCCAACAGCGGCGGGTACTCATAGCCATGCATGCCGCAGTTGTTTACAACTTTGACCTCGCTCATCCCTTCGAAGCCGGGAAGGAGCACGCCGGGTAATCACGGGGCCGGGTTAGCACATCACCAAGCACGAAGCGCCTTGAGGAGGGTGAAGGCGAAGAGCGAGTCGGGCTGGGGTTGTGTGCGGGATCCATTCGTTGGGAGGGCTTCGTCCATGATGTCTTGTTCATGCTTGCGCGAGTGAGCTGACTGTTGGCGTTTTGGCCTTGTTTTAACACTTGGATGTCGCTCCTAAATAGTGACCCTGCAAAACCTAGGTTGGAGGGGAGGACCGGGGGCAAAGACGGTGATTGGTCATCAGAGAAAGATACCATGAGTCTTTTTTTGCTGCGCGGAAAAGCGGGACTTGGGTATTGTGTGCAGCAAACAATGGCAAACTGGATTGCTTTTTGCTGAATCGAAATACCCGAGTTGCACTGCACCCCTTTTGCACCCCCCATGTTGAGCTGACCTCGTGTTGGCGTTGCCCCTGACTGGACCGCATGTGGCACACTGGCCGTGAGGCACCCACACGCATCGCCCACTGCCTCCTGCTGGGAAATAACTTGTGTTGCAATGATTCTGTGAGCCCATCATTTTTTCGCGCTCGTTGGGTTGTGGTAGAGGTTGCTTCCCAAAATGTGCGATGTCAGAAGCCAACGGCCTATTGTGTGCAGCGAGAGAGTCCAAACAAAAGTTGTAGAGCAAGCCTGGAGGCTTGGACCACCGGCACCGCCTGCTGATGCTTAGCTTCGTGCGTGTGCTGATGTACTTTTTCAGGGCCCGTGTGATGCACATGGCCTATCGCGCTACCCGTTTGGTCACCCGTCACCTCGTGGCAGCGATTCCGCCGCGTTTGGGTTTGCCAAACCTCGATGGGCTTTGGGTGTGGCTAATTTACGTTTGATCGACGCAAGCCGTTTTAGGCCACAGACCCAACCAGGTCCATCCAAATCGGGTGCTCAGTTAGGGTGCAACCTTTAACGTTAAAACAGGCCCTTTCAGTGATCCATGAGCCCCTCACCTTTGCGCTGTTGTTTGTGTCATTTGCGTCAGAAACTTTTTCATTGGTTGCGGGGACTCGCTCTTTCGGGCCCCGCCGAGGGCTGTTGGTCTGTCCACGTAGTCACGAAACTGCCTCCCGCGGGGTTTGTCATGCCTCGCTTGGTCCTGCAAACCTGCCTGAGCTACAACTCTTGAACGCGTGGCGTTGATGACAGCGTCCTCTCGGTGTTTTTTCAAAGTCGTCGTGCCGTCTTGTGCGGGACTCCGCGGAGCGTGGTCAGCCTTTGTTGGGCAGGGTGGGGGCCGCGGCACACGCCGTTTGTACGAACCCCGTCCTACATCGAAACCGTTCTAGTGACACACCCAGGGCTCCACCACCACGCCCGCCGCCGCCGCCCCGTTGTTGCCTGCGATGTAGCTGACGTATTCTTCAATGCATCCGAAGTGACGTACAACGTATCCGACGTAACAGACCGTGTAACGGATGTATCTGACAATGTCGTCGACATCACGAACAGAGTAACCGACGCAACTGGCAATATAATCGACGAAACGGGTCGTGTATCCGACGAAACTGACAATGTAACCGATGTATCAACAATTGTAACCGACATTGTAACTGACGGGACGGACATTATAACTGACGGAACGGATAATGTAGCCGATGTAGCAGACGGTGTATCCGATGTAAGCGATCATGAGCTCGACGTAACCGACTTGTAACCGACGTAGCCGACATGTAACCGACGTAACCGACAATGTAACTGACGAAACGGATTATGTAACGGATATGACGGACCGTGTAATCGATGTAACCGATCATGTGCGCGACGTAACCGCAATGTAACCGACGTACAGGACAATGTAATCGACGTAACCGACATGTAACCGACGTAACCGACATTGAAACCGACGGGACGGATAATGTAACCGATGTAACGGACAGTGTAACCGATGTAACCGATCATGTGCCCGACGTAACCGAACTGTGACCGACGTACAGGACAATGTAACCGACGTAACCGACATGTAACCGACATTGTAACTGACGGAACGGATAATGTAACCGACATAACCGACCGTGTAACCGATGTAACCGATCATGTAACCGACATAACCAACCTGTAACCGACGTACAGGACAATGTAACCGACGTAGCCAACATGTAATCGACGTGACCCGCAGGAGCTGGAGTGGAGCTTCAAGCTGTTCAAGGAGATGCGAGAGAGGGGCACGGTGCCCAACGGGGTTACCTGCTCGGCGCTGATGGACGCGTGCCTCAAGGCAGACGAGCTCGACCTTGCCTTCGCCGTGCTGGAGCACATGCTCGACGTCGGCATAGCGCCCACGGAGGTTTATATTGATTTGTTTGTGTTTGTGTTTGTTGTTGTTGTTAGTTGGTGGGGGTAATGTAGTCGACCATGGTGTTCGGCCGGGTGTGCGGGCGGGTGTAGTGCGAGGAAGAAAAGGTCGGAAGGGGAGCGGTAGCATGCCGAGGAGTGGATTGAGACGTTTGACAGTGCATGCTGGCACGAGGGACTTGCTGACTCCTTCAGTGTTGTCGGTGAGGGCGGTTTCTGTCGTCATGGGTGCGGTTGGTTGCTATTTGGAGAGTGCGAAGAAGAGGGCGGAAGCACAGCGGTAGCATGCAGCAGGAGTGACTCGAGAAGAGACGTTTAATAATGTGTCCTTGGTTTTGGCACGAAGGACTTCCTGACTCCTGCATCGATGCCGCGGTGTCGTCATGGCGTGCTGTGCCGTAATTGAGGACGGGGCGTTGTGCCGTCTCATGCTCCCAGCCGAAGTCTTGGGGTGCCGTAGTCACAAAAAGGCGACACCTCGGAGACCGTTGTTGAAACCCTACTATTTATTTATTTAGTGTTGCGAGATTTGTCCGCCCTTCGCCGTCCCCGGCCATGTCTAATGCTTGCCTGTCGGTTGAGGTTTGCATGAAAATCGCACCATACACACGACGTTTTTTTGCTGCGTCTTTTGTCTGTGTGCGTGCGAACGCCGCAGGTCACTTACACGTCCTTGCTGACGCAGTGCGCAAGGTTGGGCCAGGCGGACAGGGCGGGGATGGTCCTCGACGAGTTGAACAAAAGGCGACCGAGCAGAAGCAGCAGCGGCGGCGGTAGTGGCCGAAATGGCGATAAAAACGCCGCCGAGTCCGTGAGAGAAGTCGGACACGTCGACAGCGACACGCGCAGCAGCAACGGCAGAGGCAAGGGTGTCGGTGATGTCGCGCGGAAGGGGGCTGCTGGAAGGGGACCAGCCACGGCAATGGCTGGAACTATTTCGGCTGCTCCAGCTGGCAACGAGAACGTGACGGAGGCGTTTTTATCTACAAGGGCGGGGACAACACCGGGGCCAGCGGGGATTGAAACCATCGCGGGACCCAACCCTTGGCCCCCCTCGATGGCAACGGCGGAAGCGATAATGCCGGGGGGTGCTACTATTGGAGAAGAAGCAAGCGGGGAGACTGCAACAACACAGGGAGGAGGCGCTTGGAGGATGAACCGCAAGCTGGAGAGCGACCTCCTCCAGCTCTTCGGCCAGGCGGACCAGGTCGACGCTGCGTTCAAGGTACAGGAAGGGTCGGGCAGGGGTCAGCGGGAGGATATTTTGGCTAGTAGTAGGCAAGGAGAAGCGAAGCTGCCTTTCTTTCTCGTGGTGCCATTGTCTTGTCGTCGCACGTCCGGCACTAGTTTTTGGCCTCACGGCGAGGAGGGAGAGGAGAAAGTTGGAGGGCGGGTTTTGGCACACAGCAGTACGATACGTGGTAAAACCACTTTTTACTGAATGAGGTGCTGTAGATTGGGGGTGACAAGTTTTTTTGCAGGAATGCAGGTAGATGCCTCTTGCACTTTCCGTGAGCCGCGGAGGTCTGCACGGGGCACCGGACACTCCACACAAGAAAGTTCCTACTCTGACACCGTGTGGGGCGGACAAACGTTCGCCACCGCAACGTTTGTTGTTCTCGCGTCACGCTCAGCTTCGTACTCCACTCTTGGCTTCCCCTCCTTGTTGTTGGCAATTTCATCCAGCCTTTTCGTCGTTGTAGGACTTGTGTGGAGCAGGACCTTTGAAAGTCAGTTAGGGTGTACGTATGTATCACGTGGCGCTTGTACGACATGCCGCGTTTCCTTTCTATTTCTGTTGACCTTGCAACCCACACGTCGTCGTTTTTATTTAATTTGCCCTGTGGTCGGGCTCACGAAATGCAGGGTCTGATGCATCGCTACCCCCCTGTTGATTTCTACCGCCTCGGTGTTTGCCATCGGGATTGGGTTTTCATCGCATGGCAACGACGTTGTGAAACAAGCAAATTCTTTTTGTGAACTCGGCAATCAGGATGCCGGGGTTTTTTTACCTCTTTTTTTTTTGCTGTAGCCATAATGGTGGTCGAGTAGATCATGTTGTGCGGGGTCGAGAACCCTCACTTCGCGCAAGGGGGATGATCGCACCACATTGTGTTAAAATGGCCAAGCACCCTCGAGGCAATTACAGTGCTTTGAACTGTCTCTGGAAGTGAAAGCACCAGAAAATAAACTGAGTCATTCGCAGCTGTCATCCGTACGCAAGGGACTACGCACCAGATGCCGCACAACCTTTGCAGGATGCAGCGCACCCTTCATGCGACTCGCCGAATATCTCACGGCG